AACTATGTATAAAAAGATCAATGATTACAAATGTAAAATAATCGTTATTAAAATATAAAAAACCACCAGGCACAATTGAGTGAATATTTACCAGTGTCCTTGGGTTCCCAAACCTGAAGACGTAGTTAGGTCTTGGGAGACTTCCAGAATATTAAGAGGGATGGAGCTAACTTCACTTCAGGGGAAAGAATGTTGCATAAGGCAGATGAACTGTTTTGCATTTTAGCCACCATTTTTTTTCAGAAATGCGAATAAAGTTGTATATTAAAATGTGTTTTATTGAAAATGAGTCCTATAGGCTAGCATATTATTACTTTTGTTTTGTGTTCCTGTTGCCTACTCTTCCCAAAAGCAACATTTGTATTTTACAGAGTTAGCAATGATAGCATTTATTGCAACCTAATGGCACCTTAGCTACTTCGTTTAGGATATTTTGGTCTATATCTATTTTGCACTAGTAGACACCTCTGAAATTTTCATAGTGTCACAGATGCCTCACTAAAAATTTCCCATGGCTAATTATAATTTGTCAGGCATGCCTGCTAAAATATAAATTTGTGCAGGAACCTAAATAAACGGCAGAAGTAGGGCAATTGTCCAAGCGGAAAAACACAAGCCTGTTTACCATGAGGTTATTTAATAACAGCTGCTTTCATTTGTGTTGTAATGGAGAAGTTCACATGTTAAAATGACAAAACAATCTATTTACCAGCACAATTCTTGCAGCAAGTTACCCCTTGGGGGTCCCTCAGGTGTATTGCTTCAAACTTCTGTTGTAAGGTCTGGTCAGTACAATTCTGCCCATGTAGCAATTCAGCATACGCAAGCTGGATATTGTGTGGCCTCTTTTCTGTCATATCCATGGTTTTATAGATTAAACATTCAATACTTTTCTGTCATTTTGAAGATAAGCCCGCCATTTTTGACCTAGCCCTTTCACTGATTTTCTTCTCCTATGTAGTTTTCTTCTTCTATGTAGTTTGTCAGCCAATATTCATGCCCAACTTTCATTGTTCTGTCTTAATTTCTCATCTACTGCCACCCTCCGATGTTTAGGTTATCATTCTTTGTCTCTTTGTTATTACCCCAGCTTTCTTCTTTTCCTCTTTTTTAAATGACAGTTTCAGTAAATGTCTAAAAAATATTTTTAGAAGTGTCTCTAGACCATCTTTCAATCAGAAACATCATATTGTCCATGTTTTAAAAATATTTTAAGTGGAAAAATCAAGATAATTATTTAAATAGTGTGAGTGGAATACTAGCTAAAAAATCGAGGTGACTATAGATACATTTCCAACAATAGGTCCTGAGCACATATGTGCAATTTGGGTTCTGTATAGTTATTCAGCCCATTTGGGGGGGGCATTTCCTTACTCCACTCCTATTTTAATATTTTAAATAGATATATTGAACTTTGCAGGCTAAGCATATTTGTGTAGCTTCACCCAAATTCTCCCAACTAAAAAAAGCCAAAAAAAAAAAAAAATCATCCCATCTCATTCCAATGTCTCAACCACATCTTTTGTCTCAAAAAATTAACTTTCAGAGGTGGGGGGAAATACCCACCCATGTGTAACATACTCAAGGCATTATAGCTTCTGGTTTTTTAAAAAAAAATGGAGGCTAAAATTTAATCATCATGTCTGGGAATTATTGCCTCATTGCTTAATCCAATATTCAATGGTGCCTTTAAATTTGTTAATTTTTCTTTTTCCTTGGGCCAACTTCTGTTATTATTTTGCCCTTTTCTGAATGCTTCCCACATAAAATGTTTAAAAAATGGTTATGAGATTTCACTATATATTCGTGTGGTGTAGAATCATTTAACAGAATTCCTAATCTTATCTCTGAAGTCCTAGTTAGTCATTGCCCTAATTTGCATTCTGACAGCTGTTTCTCTGCTCCTGGAGACTGGAGAATACTTTGGATAGCTATCAATGCAGTTTTGGCAGAAATCAACCCCTTTCTTAGGCGATTGAAAAGATGCAAGCTACTTAATTCAAATTAAGTACTGTAATTAATATCTATTTGACAAACTAATTCATAATGGTTGTATTATAGTTAGCGTCCTATGTACCTAGTTACAGCATTAACAAACCAATCCTTTGAAGCAACAGATTCCTTAAATTGGCTTGCAAATTTTGGAAGCAATCTAAACAGGAACCTCTTAGATGCATTTTATCATCACTGATAAATGTATTAATTTGCAGAAGATTAAATGTAGCCTATTTTTTCTCCTTAACAGCAATTCTTGCTTCACCAAATGTTAAACAGAAGACTTTTTTAAAAACAGCAGATGGTAATGCCCCCAACACAAATAAAGCTGCTTTGGACCATAGTTCTATTACTATCCCTGTGATGAGATTCTCATTTTCAGTAGAAAATGTGTATGTAAATGAAATACGTTCAAGCCAGGGGTGAAATGCTCCTGGTACAGACCGGATCACCCGATCCGGTAGCGATGGCAGCAGGTGGTTCGGAGAACCAGTAGCAAACATCCCTGTGCCCCCCCCCCAATGCCCAGCTGAGCCGTGCAATCATCAGAGGCTTTTTTAAAAAAAATTTAAAAGCATTTTTTCTACAAACTCTGGCCAAAAATATGCTTTTAAAAGTAAAAAAAAAGCCTCTGATGATCACTCGTGTCAGCTGGGATCGTCAGAGGCTTTTAAAAGCATTTTTTTTTTACAACCTCTTCGGCTGAAGAGGTTGTAGAAAAAATGGTTTTAAAAGTAAGGGGGAAAAAGTTGGCCACACCTACCTAGTCACATTACCCCCACCCTCCCACCAAGCCACGCCCACAGAACCGTAGTATCAAATTTTACATTTCACCACTGGTTCAAGCTAACAGATCCCTCTAACTTTTGTTGTTAAAATGGACACCCCAACACCTTCAAAGATTATTGTAGGTTTTAAAATGTAGTAAAACAACACTGAAATTATATACCATTATTGAATGTCTTGCTTATTATTTCTGCCCTTTAACGAAATGTTAGCATCTTCATTAGGCAGCCAGCTGTTCCTTTAACCTTATTAAGTAGCAACTACTATTTCTTCTCCAAACAATATTTGCTGAAATAATGCTTTTTATAATACGTGGATTTTAAAGAGTGAGACATTAAATTATGAATAAGAAAGTTATCTTGCCTTTGAAATGCAACCGATAATGCAGTTTAATGTGTGGCTCTCATGTAACTTGTATTTGAGGAGTTGACTTGAAAAGGGTTTTGCTGTTAGAATGGAAAGCTTAAATTGATTGTCAGTGAAGAAAAATGTTCAGTGGGGTTTGAAGGGAATTCTCCAGAACAGAGAGCAGTTTTGGACTAATAGAAACCAGATGAGCTTCTTGCTGTGAAGGGAATGTTAAGTTGTCTACCTGTTACTTTGTGTTCTGCATTGTAGAATCAACACTGTAGCCCACTACTATAAAGCTCTTATTTGAGAACTTAAGAGTTGACATAAAAATGAAAAACAGAAACACAACTCCTGAAGTACAGGATCTGAAATAATTCTACAAGAGCTGACTTGACTCTAGCTGACTGTATCATACATATAATTATGCTGACCAGTGACTACAAAAACAGCTGAATTGCTTTAGTGCCCATAGTGCCTGTCCTTTATATTATATAAGCAGCAATTCTCTTCCCCTCTAGCTTTACAGTTAATGTACTTTGGCATCAGAGAGAAATTGCAGAGCAGGAACTGTCACTTCTGAAGCCAGAGCACTAAATAACTAGTGTAATGTACCTTTTGTTCTCTACTGGAGCAGTCAGGCATCATACTTTCTGTCTGAACAAATTAGTGGGATACTAATGTGTAAGCTTTCACATACTTTAGTATCATGCTTTCTAGTAAGGCATCTGAAAGACTTCTCAGTTCAAAACTGTCACACAAGCTTCCCTAACAGAACAGTATCTCTTACCTTCTATTGGATCAGCCTTGGCAAATTCACGAATAATTCTTCATCTTAAAGATAGCAGAATCAAAAATATGAAAAGCAAAGTAATCAAAGATATGGTACTGTTGTCTAGAATGTTTCTCATTTAGGCAGAATAAGGCTTTTCCATTTGTGACTTCTACAGCTTCTAACTCAAGGACTTGTTCTTCTTTGTTTCCTGTACTTCTCTTTTTAAAGGTGTAAGGCTACTAGGGTTTTGAAATTTTATTCTGTAATCATGGAAGAATGTGCGTATGTTAGAAACTTTATTGATAACGTGTTGATTTACAGGAAGCATATGATGAAAGTAGTAGTGCTTGAATTATGGAAGACTAGAGTTCTAGATTAGTTGATGAATGTGTTAAGAATGGTTTAAGATGAAAATAATGCATGCCTGTGGTAAAAGGAATGTTTAGCAAATGAACACTGAGCAGGGAGTAAGCTGAAGATGACTGTTTAATGTATTTATGGAGAACTATAAAAGGAATGCCTGCGGGTGATCTTAGAACTTAGTTGTTTGGGGATCTGAATATATATATTTAAATTTTATATGCAGAGTATTTTGGGCTTTTGGTAGAGAATCTGAATGATGTGCAATGAATTTTAAACAGACTGTATTATGCACCAAGGAATGTGACACACACACAAAATACATGAATACGTGTGCAAAAAAAGATAATTTGCAAAGATAGAAAAGTATAGAGACATACAGTGAGTGTATTGGTGAAAACTAGATTTATTTACTTCTTTTTTCTTATCCAATGCCTTCAATTTAACTGGTGTTTCTCTGCTCTGCTTCCCTAAAATACAGCCTGATGAATATATATATTCACATATGATATCGTCTATTTTTATCTTCTACTAAGGAAATGCAAAAACATGATTTAAAGCTACAGTTGAGTTCCTTTTTGTGTAAACAAAGCTATCTTATCAAACAGTTCGATTACCCGCCATATAATCTAGGTTAGTGTATAGCAGTATTTATCACTGCTACTAATGCAACAGAAGTGTTGAAAACATCAAAGATGTATACTTCCAATGATTGCAGAAATAATCCAATAGTAAATAGTAAAGAAGGTATTTTTAATTTTAGATATTTTAATTTTAGATATTACTGCAAATTACATAATTTCAATCATAGAGTTTTCAAATGTATTACAGCTACAGACATTTTTTAAGTTCAACAGCAAGATCCTGGGGGGTAGGGCGACTGGCTGTACAGCTTACTAAGATTCCTTCAGTTAGAAGTGCTTCAGCTGTTGTTGGACCTATAGCAGCAAACTGAAAAGAGAGCCATGTTATAGGATTTATTTATATCTTTATGGATATAGAACAATAATTAAACTTAAAATAAAACAGAGAAGTGATGGAAAAAAGCAAGATAAAATGCAGTAGAGATATGCTTGCTGCTTTGGCCCTCAAGCCTGATTAAAAAAATGTGTTCAATGAATTTATGGCTTTCAGATCAATTCTGTAGCAGCTATAAAATACTATGTATCAAATTCTGGTGTAAAACTTACCTTAATTTGGGAAATAAAATCACCTGACAACTTCAAAATTTGCTTCAGACAATATTTGACACCAGAAGGACTGAAGAAAATAACACTAGCAGGAACACCCTGTCCAAATAAAAATATTGAGAGGGGGTATTTTCCAATACTCATAGACTTTTATGACTCTTTAAAAAGTTGCTTCAGAAGTTAAAAGTCACCTTCATTCCTAATCTAGGCACATGATTGCAATGGAAATAGCATTGTATTTTGTTTAGCAAAACCACTCTACTACCAGATCAAAGAATGGCCACTTTGAAGCTGGGAAGCACATTCCGCATGTTTAATGTGTGAACTGTGAATGTTGTCATATAATGGTTACCAGAATGCCATAGGAATTCTCCCTCAGTAGCTGGGCAAAATATCTCCAAGGCATTTGCTTAATCTAACCTCTGCCCAGTGGTAACTGTACCAGATAAATAAATGGAAATCAGTAACTTCTGACTCAGAAAACAAAATACCTCTTGTGAGAAGTAATTCGTCAAGGATTCCTGGAGGTCGGGATGTTGACTGGTTTGATAAACAGTAACAGATTCCAACATAATATCTGCAATACGAACAATGAAACTTAGTTGTGATTTAAGTTTATTAAATTGTTTTCAATTCAAACATGAATGGAAATATATTTAAACCAAAATTCATTCTTTTCGTCTACCTAAAATGCAGACAAAGCCAGCTGATCATGAAAGCAAAATTCTTATCAATACTTTAGAGGTGTATTGTCACAGACAGTATACAAATTCTGAATAATTTAAGACACTATGTGGCCATTTAATCTTTATGAAAAGATGTTACCAGAACACTATCAAGGGATATGATCAAAACAGAATAAAAATCCTATGACATATGTATAATACAAATTACACAGATTTGTAAAAGGATTTAAGAATAGTTGGGCAAAGAAATTGCTCATAGAAGAGAAGAAAATGCTAATTCTAACCAAATTCAAAATGTATTCTTTCTAAAGGTACCAGATAAAGGTAAAGTCTCATTAATATATCATCCTTGAAAGAAACAGAGAAATTCAAATCACATAATAAAATGTAATGACTGGACAATCTGTCTCAGAATAGATAATGAAAGCATTTTAGCAATAATAAAATGCCATTAGTTTGGAAGTATTTCTACCTACAGATTATGTGACAATTCATTATGTGAAAATACTCGAAAAGATAGATGTGGAAGGCCCTTGAACAAGCCACATTTCCATAATTCCAAAATTATCCACTAAACAGGCAGCAATAATATTAACTTTAGCTGGATAAAAATGTGCTTCTAAAGGAAGCAGTCATGCCTGATTCAAAATCTGGATTACTATTGATCAAAAGTAACTTCTTAAATGAACAAGGTATTTGGTTAATGAAAACTGTTTTTTTTTTTAAATTAAGTTGAATTATGCTTATGGATGAAAAGTTCTGTTGAAATTCCAGATTATACAGTATTTGAACACAATAAAACATCAGACAGAAGGATTTCTGTCTTTTGGAAGTAAAAAAAAAAGTAAGATTTGAAAAGAGGAATAGAATTATTGAAACAAAGGAATAATTTCGTAGTTAAACCATTTTACCAGTAAACCAAATTACATACTGTATATACTGAATTCTGATGAGGTATAAAGTATATACAGTCTACTCTACAGAACGTTCTCTACTCCATGCTCTGCACCTCAAGCAACTGATTGTGTATGTGGAAGAATCCTAACTATACAACAAAGGAATATTTTCTAATGTATAATTTTGTGAGGATATATCACAGATTTTTCACTGACTGGATGTTTCCAAGATAGGAAGAAATGTGACACAGTTTGATGGATCTGGAGAATTTGTTTTTGTTTTAGAACAACTAGATTTAGACCACCACCGTGATTAGTTTATTGCCAGCAGATGGTAGTCATAAAGCCTATTTAGGCTTTCCTCTGCTATTTAAAAAAGGATAAAACCAATTAACTGAGCATTATAGGAGTGAGATGACAGACCAATACTCCTTTCCGGTGTCATACATATTGATATAAATGGCACGCTATTAACTTTCTTCCATTTTTTGTGTTGTCCTTAAAAGAATTAATAAGCTGGCCATAATTCAATGTTTTACTTGTCAATGTTGTGAAAACAGGCATCTGTGCAAGATTAATTATGTGTAGGGGGTGACAGAGAAAACACAAGTGAATGTCATCTCAAATATGACCATAAAAACTTGTTTTCAAGATCACTGCCATCATTTTAAAAATAATGAAGCAATTGGCGTATTCGTTATGCCAAAGGAACTTGATTAGCAAACATAAAAAGTGGTTCATCTTTGACAGCTTTCTCTTAAGTGTTTGAGTGACAAGTACACTTCAAAAATAATATAAGCGCTGTCAGGGCTATTACTAAGGGTTGTTTATTGGATTTATCCCCATCTCAATCAACAAACTCAAAGCACTTACAGTAAATTTTATTTATTTGATCTTATGTGTATCCATTTTTCAAGAATTCATGACGACTTACATCATGCTCCCTTCTCTCTCCCCCCCCCAAAAAAACCACTAACCTATGTGGTTGGATGGCTACAAAAAGAGTAACTGGCCCAAAATTATTCAGGTATCTTCTATGACTGAAAGTGGATTAGAACTCTGGTCTCCCTGCTCCTATTTAACACCCAAACCCCTATTCTCCCTGGCTGTCCTATAGTAATATGAATACATCAATTATAATAATAATATAAGCTAAATTAATAACATTATAGTAACATTAAATTAAAATGGCACCAATCAGTGAATTTCCAGCCAAGTCCTTGCCAGCTTCCAGAAATCTGTATGAGGGGGGGCGTTGTTATTTCCAAAGAGGCAGCCCTCAGAGAGAATGCCTGCCCTCAGGCCCACTTCTATGTACCTCCCAACAGATGAAGTCCCTTAGCAAATACTGTCTCCCTATGCTGGCCAGGTGAATAGAAGCTTTTTGGAAAAAGGATACTCCTTATATTTTTTGCATAGGAACTTGGGAAAGTATCATAGTTCAGTTCAGAGCATTGGTCTATCCTAGCCAGGAATTAATTTTTTTTGCATTAATTTTTTATTTTATTTCCAAAGTTAAAATACAAACTCCAAAAAAAAGAAGAACAAAGAAAAAAATTCCAGGCTTTGTTCCTAGCCAGGATTTTTTGACCTTACTGATACAAGCTCCTCAAGGTATCTGGCAGGATTTTCTTCTACCTCTATGTGGAGATGCTAAGGATTGAACATGAGTTTTTCAGCATTTATTCTACAATGAACCTGCATTCTGAATTTATTTATTTAATGTATATAGTTGCCCATTTGCTGGGTGACTCTTAAGTTTCCTAGAAGACATGTCAGTCTTATAAGATCTTCTGAGTCAAGATGTTATTCCACATGTTTTAAACAATTGGGGCTTTGTTTAGTTTTTTTCATTGCACTTTCATTGGAGTGAGGTGACATTACTGGGATTAGATTGCACAGTAATATACAAACCACAGCTATGTCTTGTCTGTAAGCAGATCAGTTCATTCCATAGAACGAGAAATGGAAAACAACAGTTGCTCATCTCTAACTGTAGTTCTAGTGGCATCTATGAATCACACATATTGTTATTCAAGACATTGTTAGAACATTCTAGAGCTCAGCTGCATTTTGGCAGGCCCACAAGAGTCCCATCCACTGCACACTTGGATACTTAGCATAGTTTTTTAAGATCCGCCCAGAACAGACATTGTGACTAGAAGATATAGTATTTTTTTAAAATGGAGTTGAAATCAAGTATATGAAAGTCAAGGTAATTAGGCAATTTCCAAGCTTTAGATAATGTTAATTGCAGCAGTGTAGAAGATCATTCTGACAAGACTGACTTAAGGCCCCATCAGGCTTCTCTGTGCTTATGGGGTCCAGAATGGCCAATTCCTCTGCTTTCACTCTATTGATACTACTGGCCTCCACATTTTTATGAAGTTTCAGAAAATCTGGAATAGGTGCGGAGAAAGACAATGTCAATGACCAAAGGATTATTATAAAGAAACAGGACAATGGATAGCTCAGCCTTGAAAAAGAAGACAGAGGAGAATATGACAGTACTTTCTAAATACCTACAGGGACCATCATACAGAAAAAATTGTTATCTAGCAGCCCAGAAACTAGAACACAGGTGTCAAACTGGTGACGTCATGTTGTCATCACATGATGTATCATGACTTTTTTCTCCTTCGCTAAACCTGGGATGGGCGTGGTAAATATGTGACGCATCCGGGCCACAGGCCGCCAGTTTGACAACCTAGAATATCAGATAATAATCTTATGTTATAGAAAGGCAGATTCTGAAAAAAAAATATTAAGAAGCCTGAGAGTAAAAATGAGGTAGCAGAACTAATCACTGAGGGAGATGGTGAATTCCCTTAACTAGATCTATGCAAGCAGAGTTTAGAGAGCCATCTGTAGGGGGAAGTTTCAATTTTAATTCCTGCACCATGGAATATTGCTTATTGTAAGACTTTTTCCAACTCTTCGAGGTCTATAATTTATTATTTTTTTAATCCCACCTTTATTATTTTCTATAAATAACTCAAGGTGGCAAACATACCTAAGCTCCTTACTACCTTCCCCACAACAATAACAATGTGTGGCGAGTTGGGTTAGCTTAACAATCATCATCTTACTCCCTCTGAGCTTCTTGGAGTAGAAAACTACTGCTCAAAAGTATGTTTTATATCAAACCTTTGTCCTTGAGCATTGTTGGAAGTGTTTCCCTTTTCAGAGCACCACATGGAAAAAGAAGAGGCAATGAATTGGATGGCTCCCCTGTTTAAGAAATAAAAAGGGATTTAATTCAGAATGGCATTTTAAGCACAAGCAGCACAAAGCAATGCTTTAAAATGGCCACTCTAAAACACCGTAAGATGTGCAATGTATTTGACTTGTATGCCTACAAGTGGCTCAAAACATTTAATGCTTAAAACTAAACACACATCCAATAGATAGAAGCTATTTAGCATGTAAATTAAAAAGGAATCCATTGCCGAGTTATAGATATTTGCCTAAAAAGATCTGGCAAAAAGATTAATTGCCTTGCTATTCTTGTGCTATTCAACAGAGCTAGGAGCACAATGCTTCCAAACATTTTAATACATTTTCTCCTCCCATTCTGCCATTTGGCATTCTTCAGACTTCACATATAGGCACAGATGTAGAAAGTTAAAGACTCAATTCAGCAAGATAAATTTGTCTTCTACACAAAAGGAAAGGTCAGGATAGTTACAGGAAGGAACAGTTTGCTTTGAAAAGAGCTCCCAATTCTAATTGGTGTTTCTGTTGTTATTGACTGCAGCCAACATCCTTTTTAACCTTAGGACAGACTGTTAATTGGAATTATATCTATCACTTTCTCATCTTTCAAGATGATATTCCTGTAATTACTAGTTCTGCTGAAACAAATACTGTTTGAAGATTATCGAAGAGGGATTTTTTTAAAAAAGAAAAATAGTTCTTTGCTTATTCACTTCCATGACAGTTTTTCCTAACATTTTCTCATTAATTTTAATATTCACACAAACCATACCTACAGGCTTAGGAACATTAAAAATGGCTAGATTGCAGGTAGCAGCTATCATCATTAATTCTTGTGTTTTGGATGTTCAGGTATACATGCCAACACTTTGCAGCCAGAATGGTGCCACTCATGTAAAGACAGCAGATAGCAGTGAGGGGTTTTTCCCCGAAGTGCAAACTTAGTTTCAGTACAAATAAACATTTAGGAGAGAAAAATGAAAGAGAAAGATAAAATTAGGCCCATGGATTATTTTATGGTAATAGTTGGAACAGAAAATTGGGAAGGAAGAATGAAATGTAAGAGGTACTGAAGATATCCTGAAAAGAATCATTTGATTGAGTTGGGCAGCTATAGAATGAATGAATGAATGAATGAATGAGGCAGATGGGGCAAAAGATTGGCAACGTTTGGTGCAGTTTACCTGCTATATAAAAAGGAAATTCTTTTTTTTCCATTTTTTTGATCCTCACATAGCCAAAAATGGCATCAGCTAGACAAAAATGAGAGATGTCAGCAGACATCTTTAGGGGGGAAAACTTTGGGAGTCAACCCAAAGGAGGCCTAAGCACACCCATGAACATTGTAAGGAGAGGAAATGGAATACTTTGTTTTTATTAGGTTCTAGCCTGCACATTATGGTCGTTATGTCGTGACCATTGTAAATTGAGTCAGTCATGTGACTGACCTTTTTAAATGGGGATTGTTAAGTCAACAGTGTGGTGAAAAAATGAATGCCATTGTCACTAAGCAAACCCACTGCAGTTCCCAACTTCAGTATGGTGCGGTTTTGCTGAATATCGGAAGTAACTGATTTTCAACAAAACTGTTATAAAACATAGTCACATGACCACAGGACCCTGAAAATGGCCATAAATATGACTGTGTTGCCAAGCGCCTGAAATGCAGTCAGGTGACCTCACAGACTGATATGAACAAGGCTTGGATGTGAACATCAACTGGTAATTTCCAATATGGGCTGGTCCCATCCCAGTGGTGTTCTGTATCTCCAGCAAGAGTGCAATTATCATGTCTCATTTGCTTGTGGTGCCCTTATAATTGTAAGGGATTTAAAGACAAGTAAAGACCTTTTGATTTTGTTAAAACCTGCCTTTTTATTAGCATCCTAAAGCATCACTTGCTTCGTAAGAGCAAACAGTGTCTCCAATTCTGAGATGTAGATATTTCTGTCAGATTTGTATCCTTTTGCTTACCAGACCTATTTTAAAAAATGGTTGAGATACTTACTTTAAACATTATAAAATAATTTTGCCTTTGAAGATTCCTAATTGAACAAAATTGAATAATCAATGGATGGACCTTATTAAGATCTAATCATTTTCATCAGAATAACCTTATGTTTTATTAGGCACCACAGAGATGTCAGTAACATGAAGCCAAAAAAAAAAAAAAAAAAAAAAACCTGAGGCAAAATGCAGAGATAAAAGGAAAATACATTAACATCGCTGCTTCTGAAGGCTTAAGCCAATGTGATTCCTGAGAAGGAAAGTTAATCCTTTTAAATTGGTTTAGAACAAAAGAATAACATTTTGATAGCAGTAGACAATTTAACAAGGGCAGATCGTATAATGTTTTCTTTCTGTATAACCACCTATGTGTGGCATTAACATTGTAAAAAACCTGCAAGGTTTATCTTGGGAAAAAGACAAATATTGATGCTACCTATTTAATTAAGGGAGCAACTAACCTTTTTAGCACAATAGATCAGCCAAAGCCAATACCAAAGACAAAGCTACTTGAATAACAGCAACTGTCCTGGATCCAAACTAATATAATTCTATTTTGGCCCAATGCAACTCAGTGAGATAATTTAAGTGTCTTTATATATTCAAACAATTGTAGAACTAAAGTGCTGTATGAATGATGTATTTTAAATTTTCTACTATCAATTACCTTTGTTTTAATTAACATGTAGTTCTTGTGTTTTCATAAAAATTTTAGGAGAAATTGAAATAAAAATTAAAGGAGGAATTGGCATGCTGTAAAATGAGGCACCCAGCTTTAACCTTAATTTACACAATATATCCACATGCTTAGTACAGCTGCAGATCCAATAGAAGTTTTTTTAAAAAAAAAAACAAAATAATCAGTGACTATAGCTCATGCATTGTATGAAAGTAGATTGGCTCGGTAAAAAGAAAAAGACATCTCAAGAGTTGTAGAAAGTGTTATAAGAAATCAGAAAGGCTAGCAAGGAAAATAACAAGACAGGATTACTTCTGGTAAATGGTTGCTCTGACACTGGCCAATACCCACTGTGTTGGTTATTACATAAATAACACCCCCATAACAGCCATTTTGGGAAGTGCTTTAACTGACATGCCCTCAAAATGCCAAAGGTGACATATGGTCTAAAAAGTTATTTTTGCCATAGACAAAAAGAAACTAATCCCTCTCTTAGCAAAATAGGAGAAAATCATGCTACAGCATCCAACAGCAAATAGACTACAGGACTTCTCTTTCTTGCAAATGTTTTGTCAAGAGAAGATTAGAGACCTCCAGACTTCCAGACCTAACCCACAATCAGGACACCACACACACACACACAAAGTTCCAAGACGTTTGTTAAGGTGGATTTTCGGCACACAGTGAGTCTGAAAAATAAGGACTAAAAATAAGGACTAAAGTTTGCGTTAGGAGCCTCTGCCTCCCAGCACCTTTTGAAGGCTGGAGCCATGCCCTTCCACTTCCAGAGCAGCCAACCACCCAGCAGGCCCAATCAGCTTATTGTCGGGCCGCCGGCAGTCGATCAACAGCCTGTTGGCCGGCTTGCAGGCAATCATGATCAATTGATCGTCGGCCAGCTTGCATTGGCCTGGATCAGCTGTTTGTCGGCTTCATGTTGCTTGCCACTTGGCCGCTTGCAGCTTCAGGGTTTGACAGACGGTCTTCCCACCACCCACCTCCTGTGCTGCGGTCCCTCCCCCCAGATATGGCAAACCCCAGGCCGAGGTTTGACACTTTAATTCTATGAAGAAGCAGGCTTCCCCGCTCCAAACTAACACTACATTTTAGCATTTATATTTCTGTTATGAAATGCCACAGGATGCTATTTTTTGCTATTGCTCTTGATACATATTTCAAGTATAATGAGAAGTTTTTGGAACTGCTTTCATTGTTACCCAGGGGAGAAAACATTGTGTATTTTATGTAGATCATAAAATTAGATCATTGTAACAAATACATATTGAAGATGATAAAGTCATACACCTGTCATTGAAACTTATGTTTCCACTTACGGGAGCAAATGAATCCCGCTAGTTTTTCAGCATTTCCACAATCTTCTCCTTGTGGTTTGAGACCTATTTCAGTTACTGAAGGAAGAGGAAGAGGAGGAGGAAGAGGAGGAGACAAGATAAAGCAGTAAAGAAAATGAAGGCTTATTTTACAATCGTTTAAGGGTAGAATTTTGTTTTTAAATTATCATATGCAATCCAGAGACTTGATCAACTATGGAGGCATAAGAAAATTGTGTAGCAACATGGTTAAATCACATTAGTTGTTACCCTAATTCTGGTAACCAGATCACTGTAATTAGGCAAAAGATTACTTTTTTTACATGTAGTATGAATAAGAATATGTTAGCATTATACTTTGCTGAAAAACATGGCTGCTGCCTCATCTATTTGGTTCCTAATATTATTTTTGTAGTAACTTAGCCTCTCTGTAGAGTACAATCATTACAAAAACCATAGCAGGTTTACAATCTAGGAAGACAATGAAAATATGAGATTATATTGCTACAAAAGAGAACATTTTCAGATGATACTTAAAGTCAGGCTGCACAAATAAAGTCATGCACACAAATAGCCATAGCTTCAGTGGAATTGAAGGGGGGAAATATTTGAGGGCTTTTAAGGAGTGGATATATTCAATGTATTTTTAAAGCTGAAATTTCAGACAGACAATAATTTTTTACTTGCCTTGCCTTTAAAAACAGAAACTGTTTTGTCTTTTAGTATAGAATGCCAATGCTGAAACTCAAAATGCGGCAATCAGATTAAACTGCCTAGTGTGAATTTTATTAACAATGTTTAGCAAGGACGAACAAACAAAAAACACCAATCAAATGTTCTACTTTTCTAAGCAACTTCCTTTATTGTTCCTCACCTATAGGCAACAATCTTGCCAAACGAAAGCAGACTACTTGCCCCATAAAAGCATGTACTCTGGGAACTAGGGAGGAAGCTGTCTCAACTCTCTTCTTCCATGCAAACTAAACTGCACTGTCATTTGTCTTCTCAAATGCACTCCCTCAATCCTGGGAATCTGACAACATCAGGTGAATAAATGTCCAAAAATCATTTTCTAATGCTAGAATAATTGTAAAGTAGTTTCTATATGTCTAATACTGGGGACATGTACTTCATACTTAACAATGTATTTTCTCCTCTAATACATCCTGACAAATAAGTAAGGCATCAAATGGTCAGACTGCTCATACTTATATGAGCAGTCTGACCACTTTGATGCCTTACTTATTTGTTAGATCTAAACCCCACCTTTCTTTCAAGAGCTCAATGTGACTTCCATTTGATCCCCATAAGAGCAGCCTTGTAAAGTATCCTAGATTAAGGGAAAGTGACTGTCCCTAAAATACCCAGCAATATTGTATTACTAAGGGAGGACTTCCTTCTGGGAGACTCCAGCCCTGGATTGCTGCCCTAGAGTTTTAGATAAACTGACTGAATCCTTGATCTGCCAGAGAGGATTAAGGAGCAAAGAAAGAGTAAGACAATAGATTTGCTAATCTTGTTTTAACTTTTTGTCCTGCAGCCAAAATAGAGTTTATCTGTTAAAAGGCATGATGTATACTTGTCTTAAATGTTTTTATATGAATGTAAAAAGATGTCTTACCTAATCCAGCAGTAGCTTTCCCTACCACATAAACAGGTTTAGTATTCCATTTTTCTCTTAGATAGTTCTTCCAAGCTAAAAGTGAAACAATGCATCTTTCACATTTCATGCTATTTAAGCCATAAGCATTGGTGAACAAACCACAATAGGTGGATTCAAATAATCCACTAAAGTAAAACCATGCAAACAACATTACGCTCACCTTCTTTTTTACAACTATCCATTAGGAATAATTTAACAGCTTCTACTGCTCTTGGACTGGTAAAAATTAGTCCACGGTATTGATCAGGATGAAAAAGCTATTTGTTGAAGAGAGAAAAAAAAAATAAGTAAAATATTAACAGAATATTCACCATCAAGAAATCTTAAAAAGCAAAGTGTTAGTTTCAGTATTATTTTCATCAAAATCTCAATACATGTAAAAGCACTAAAATTTGCAATTTTAAGAAATAATAGGATCCCATTATATCAAATCTTGAAAAGTTTATTGTGTCAATCTGAGTGTCAATTCTGAAGCGAACCTGGATGAAGCCATCTTGTACTGCCTCATAGTTGCCACGAAGCCAGAAAGGGGAAAGGGAGGGGGGAAGTAGATAGTCAAGCTCCAGTCAAAACAAAATGCTTTCTTGTGGGAATCAAGGTCATTGAAACAGGTTGCCGTTGAAAATGGAGAAGAGCCATGCTTCCGGTTTGGCATCACGGCAATGCAGTCAGGGAAATGGTGGGGCTGATGATCCTCGCCAAAACCCCAACTGGCTAACCGCCACTGACAGGTCTGCGGACCTACTCTGTCCTGAAGGGACAGGGGGAAAAGAGAGGGACTTCTTGGGCGGCCGAGAGGAACGGGCAAGTTCCTTGGAGGCCGGAGGCAACCCTCTAAGTCAGATGGCGGTTGCCTCAAGATTGCGACAAATTGGGACAAGCAAAGTGCAGTAGGAAGGAAGAAAGGACAATGTGCTTTGGAGCCAGGTGAGTGACACCAACCCAGGCGAGAAACAACGTGTAAATAAGGATATTTACAAATAAGATCCCCAGCCTTACCTAGCGGCTGAAGATCTGAGGGGCTTGAAGATTTTGTAAAATAAGGAAAGAAGTTAAAGACCCTTTAAGAACTTTATTTCACCACTGATTGATTGGAATGAACTGCTTATTAACTAAATAGAGCTGGATATTTGAACCTTGTTAAAACCGAAATGAATTTGAAAAGAGAAAAGTGATAATTAAGGAGTTGCCATCTCTAAAAGCCAGACAAAGAGATCAAACAGATTGTTCCATAAATGTTTCAAAATGGCGATTGAAGCTGTGACTAAGTGAAAGTGTTGATTGCGGAAACTTGTTTTTTCCTGAAAAGAACCTATTTGACTTGTTACATATTGTGGATTACTTTGAAAAGAACTATGATTTTTTGAACTTTGGAGATTCCTATTCTGTCGTTTAATGGCTTTACAAAGAAAGAAGAAATACAATGACTAATAAACTTTTAACTAACTGGCGCAGCAACAAAAGGCTTGGCGCAAGAACAGAAGTGGAGAAGCTGATGTTTTACTGGAAACAGACTTTATAATAGAATTAAAAAGGATATGCAGAGTTTTAAGCGTGGAAGTATTGACTTTGAATTGAAATGCTTATGGACAGATAAGGAAACGAAGAAGCAAAATAGATAAATCAGATAACAATGTTTGAATTTAATTTGTATGAGCCAAATTATTTAATGTGCTTTTACACTGTTTTTTAAATTTTGTATTATGTGTGTTTTATCTTTTGGCTGTTCACTGCCCTGAGTCCTTCGGGAGTAGGGCGGTATATAAATTCAAAATAAAGTAAAGTAAAAAAAGTTCTGTTGTAACTATAAATGGTTGCTAAATGAAATGTCATTAAGTCGAAGACTACCTGTATTTAAAGTTTTGTCCTCACTTCAGAAATGCTGAACATGGTGCTCATTGTTGTATTGTAAGTTAAAATATCCCAATTATAAACTATTTTAGTCTAGTTTCATTCTCTTCCTCCTCAACCCTCACTTTCGATGGTCTTGATGGTAAGCTTGTTTCAGAGATTTAGAATGCAAATTTATACTAATATAAGTTGGAAGCAACTTGCTCTTTATAACCAGCGGGAGAAACTTCCAAATTAACATAAAATAAATATACTAAATGAAATTCAATGCATATGCTATAACCTTTTAAAATTGTTTTCAATCTGATTGCTGTTTTTTAATAAATGTGAGCTACCCAGAGATGTAGACGAGTGGGCAGACATATAGATTGAATGAATAAATAAATTTCAAATTAAGACGTTCTTAGGTTTATAATTTGTTCTGACCACCAAAATTAGATGTGGTCACAGTACTTCAACTCCATGATAGTAATTACCCCTCTCTCAGAATATTAGAACATTAAAGTTAATTGCAGAGCACCAATAAAAAGGGAGTCATTCTTCATGCAAAGAATAGAATTTGCTGCTATGAAAGATGCAAGCCACTAAATGATTTTAAAACATGAGTGACAATACACATTGGTGAACGATGGACCTAATGCAGCCATCAACATGTACAATTATATTTACTGCTACAAGCATTAAACATCAGTTCGTATAAAGCAACAGTAAAAAACGTTTGTGAGTTTTCTGAATATATATGATACAATATCATATGCTCAGAATACTGGGTTAAGAGGTTTTGGCCTGGATTAGCAAGGTTATTCTTATATTCTTAAAATCCATTACAGTTTTCTCTTAATACTTGATTATCATATTAGGATAGAAGAATTTGTTATTACCAAACTGTTAGGAATCAGACATTTTTGCTTATCTATTACAATTCACACAACTACAGTCATACTTGACTTACTATAAGTGTTCTGTCCTCAATAGGGTTTATAACATCAACATTTAAATTGCTAACCAAATAAACAGAATGAAAGGAAAAGTAAATGCATAGTTTCAATAGCATGGGATATGACTAGAAATAAAATTCAAAACTTACTTTTTCAGAGAGAGTTTGATGAGAAATAAATTCAAATGTTAAAACTGGAATTAAAGTTGCTTTGAGTCCATGTGAACCAAATTCCTTTAAAAAAGAAGTACAGATTTTTATGGAAAAAAAGAATCCCAATTGAATTATTGCCCATTACCCATTGAAACACCTAAAATTATGGAGAATAGAATAGAATAGAATAGAATAGAATAGAATAGAATAGAATAGAATAGAATAGAATAGAATAGAATAGAATTCTTTATTGGCCATGTGTGTTCAGAAACACAAGGAATTTTGCTCTGGTGCATAAGCTCACACATATAAACATCAAGTAATAAGTCATAATCATAGTTACAATCATTAATCATAAGTTACAAACAATAATTGATATAAATCATAAGAAACCAATAGGAGAAGATAGCAGGAAAGATGAGAAGATGAGAAAAGATGAGAATATAATATATGTGAAGTTTCCAAAAGATGCCCTAATTAATTCATGAGCCTCAAGCCAAGTTTCAAAAGAAATCCAATCATTTATTAGGAGCAACATTCCGGCAATTACTCAAATCGAGTCAGCTCTGACCCTACGTAATTTGCAGGCCCCATGACCCTGTCTCCCCCCTCCTCCCTGGTCATGTCATAAATCACATTCTCCAATGGACCACGCTGCAGGCTGTAAAAACCCCACCCCTCCTGCTTACTCCGGTAACCTAGGATACAATCTGGAGAAAGGCATGTGTGGAATGTATTTTCAGTTGGGGCAGCCAAGCAGCTCCGTCAGTTCTCCCCCCTCCTACTTATGGCAACTTGAAAGCTGGTCTGGAAAGCTTTGCAAGTTGACAATATAAACATTGCAGTATTTTTACATTTTGTTTTTTGACTAATCAAGAACCTGTGAGCTTTAACTATTGCACAAGATTGTCTGACCGATGTTATTAGACCTGGTTGAGTAACCATCTTCTTTATCCATGAAGCAGTTTGATACTAACATATTTTCACTAACAAATGCCTCAGCCCAAGTACCTATCTGACTCTGACCTCAGCTGTAATACCTAACCTAAGTCTGGAGGTGTATTTCATCCCAAGTCTCTGCTCTTGTGATTTCTTGCCTCTGGAAAAGTGGTGGAATGCTCTAAAGCTTGGGTCATTTTGCTGATCTAGAGAAAAGAACAGTCCAAGTATGGATTTTGGAAAATTTTATGTCAGCAGAAACATAGGCATTTACATTTTACAAGTACTTCTGGTAATTTTTAAAGTATTGTAATAAGACAATTCAAAAATTATATAAACATCAATAAACAGCACTGAAAATAAAGAGAAATATTATCTAGCCATGACTAGCCATGAAAATTATTTCACAAATATCATCATGCCAGGGGGGAAAAAACCTATGGTTTGGAAAAGAATAGCTAAAGGCATATTTCATTCCTACTCCCCCTCCCTCCAAGAATATATATATATAAGACTTTGGCAACAGCTTCTCTGAACTGTTTTCATTGTGATGTGGAAAAATGGCTGAATTCAGTAGTAGATTACTTCATTAAAAATTAATTTTAATACAGTTAGTCTATATGATGTAAAATGTGGAAGATTTTCTATAAAAAAAACCCCTGCATTTCCTTTATGTAGGAACAAAAGTATTATAAGAAAGTCAGACATTAAAGGCATCGATCACCACTTCTACCATTCATTCTAATTTAAATAAGGAAGGAGATCACTATAATGAAAGCTAGCTTTATTCTTGAGCAAGGGATAGTCTAACAGATCTTCTATCTGCTGAAATACTGAACAGTGAATTTTGAAAGCAGTATAAGAAATAAATCTTCAGTGTAATAGAATGCCAAATAAATATTAGGTATTAGCAGCCCTTATCTTAAACAGTCATTATCTATTCCTTGTTAATATGTGTCTTACTTCATAAAGTGCTGATAAATTATTATAAGGGCTTATATAGGAAAAGGCAATTTTTTGACACTTTGGTAGAAACCAAAGAAGACTTCTTTAAAATATAATCTGTATATTATTCACCTACGGTCTATCAATTTGATAAAATGCCATGTATTTCATTTTCAGGAAATAATGCCTATGAAGTTGAAAACAGAGGCTGATATAATACATTTTTACAATAAAAATGAGCCACACATTCAATTACTTCTGGCTTATTGATGTCACAACAGTATCCCTTAATTCATAGCTACCACGAATTGTAAAATATTATTTCCAAAAGACAATTGAAAAGAGGCACAAACAACTAACATATTATCTGAGCTAGACAAAGCTGGAGGATTTTTTTTCTTTAATCATTCAATTCTGTTATCCAATTCTGTTATCTAATCTGCTAAAATGAAGAATTACATTTTGGATGAGCTGGAATGCAATTCCAGCAGAGATTTTCTTCTTAGGTTACTCACCTTTATATAAGAATCTGGTCCACCATCACTTTCCTTTGGATCTTTCAGTAGCAACACTTTCATTGTTTACTTGTGAAATGCCTTGTAACAGGGAAGCACAAAATGGAAATAAATCTAAATTAGGATTCTTTTCTGTACAAGAGTTGTACTGGTTAATGGTCACAAGAAACAGGATAATTAAGAGTAACTAAACGGTGTTGGTCACACGATGAGTACGCACTTAATGTGCACCCTCTGCAATTGCATATCAACCCTGATAAGGCTAACAAAATGCATGTTGTTTTTAAATGATACAATATGTCTTTGCATCCTGAAAGGAAAAGGTGAAAAGAATTTGCAGTGGTGGCGAATAGAATTTAGTTTACAAATAAGCAGCATTCTAATTGTATACTGTGTATCTTGCATTTGTAATATATAATTTTTGGACATTCCACCAGAGTGTTAGAAGAGTCTGTAACCACTGTTATAATACATATTTTCCAATGCCCTAACAGTATTTGCATGTAGACACCTAAACAAGCCCATCCCAAATGGTGTTGTCCTGCACAAAAGAGATAAGCTATGCCTGCCAAGAGGTTTCAGATATACTCCAAGTCAAATGTGAACATACAGCTCTTTGTCACAGCAATATTGCAGTATTTGGCAGATAACCTAAGATCCAGCAGCAGAGACATCGATTTTGTTTAATGCACTGGGGGCCAAACCTAGGGGATGTTCTCTTTTCATAGCATGAAAACAGTCTCAAATCACCAGAAATTCCCCGGAGATCTAGGTATTTATACAGTGTACTTCTCATCTGCCTTTCAAATGTGTGGATAATTTACAGTATAAAACACACAACAACATTAAAACCATGCATTTGAAATGAGCCAATTAAAGCAAGTTAAATTTAGATCGAAATAAAAGTAGTGGTATTTTCTAAAAATGTGGCCGGATGGCCTTTCCTGTTGTCAGACAGCTGCCAATCTCATCGGCATCATTTCTGTACAGCAGAGCCTTGCAGTCTCTCTCCTAAATATTTAGGCCAACTAACCCTGGAGAAGGTGAAATCATTTGTGTGTGAGAGAGAATCAGGGGCACTGATCCTCAAAATGGTATCGCCAATGCCCCCAAAATCTACCACCAATTGTTAGGTAGCCATGAGCCCTCTACTGAAAGATATCTACGAAATCTGACTTTAAGCAAATATAGTTAAGCCTTTTCAGAGCCCTTTGATGGTCTTCCATCAGCATTAATGGCAGGAAGAATTCATGGGACTCCTTATTTGCAGAGACTTTGCTCTTGTGGATTCAGGGAGACAAAAACTTCCTCATGTCCTCCTGCCATGTCCTTTTTATGAGGCCCAAGAGCACATCTTGGGCATCATTTCCAAACATGAGGACCACTTGATTTTTAAGGGATCACATATAGGTGGTCAAATAAGTTATACAACTCCACAACATTTTTTGATTAGATACAGTATATTGTTTTACTGGTTTTTTTCTCTTTCCCAATAACTAATTCTTGTATCAAATGATTTTCTTTTTTACTATAAAGGCTGATCAAAAGTTATAATAAATATATTGATTTGATCCAAAAAAATGTGTTAATGTATGCATTAGTCATCAGGTTGATTTGCTTGTTTAGTGTGATGCTTTACTTGGGATGATATATGTTGTGTGTTTGTCTTCCCTAAGCTAATGTATAGTTTGCGGGGGCTTTTTTATCTATGTATATGGTTTGGGAGGGTATTTAATTTGTGCTTGGTTCTGTATACTTCTTTGAATCCCGTCAGTGCATTTTGTGAAATAACTACAGGTAGTCCTCAACTTAGAGCCATTCATTCAGTGATCATTCAAAGTTACGACAACACTGGAAAACATGAGTTCTGACTGGTTTTCACACTTAAGATTGTGAAAGATCCCCAAGATCACATGATCAAAATTTGGGTGCTTGGTAACTGGCATGTATTTATGATGGTTGCAGTGTCCTGGGGTCATGTGATCACCTTTTGTGATCTCCTGACAAGCAAAGTCAATGGGGAAGCCAGATTCACTTAACAACCACGTTACTAAGTGAACAACTGCAGAGATTCAATTAACAATTGTGGCAAGAAAAGTTGTAAAATGGGGCAAATTTCACTTAACTGTCTTGCTTAGGAAATTTTGGGCTCAATTGTGGTTGTAAGTTGAGGACTATTTGAATTTTGCCATTTTGTGATATTTGGTGTTTTATTTGGTGTCTTCCAATATTACAGCAAGTTCTTCATTGCTGGCTTTCTTAAACTTGCTTTCTTGGAATGGAATGGGAATGGGAATAGAATCTGTCTCCAGTGCATAAGATCACAGTGTATATATAAACAGTAAGTAATAGATCATAGATCATAAATCATAGTTTACAATTATTAATCATAAGTTACAAACAACAACTGATGAATCATTTGGTGAGAAAAGATGAGAAATGAGGAAGTGCTGTGAGAATTAAGTGTTCAGCAGAGTGATGGCAAAGGGGAAAAATCTTTGTGTCTACCGTAGTTGTTTTGGCATGCAATGCTCTATAGTGGCATCCTAACGAAAAAAGTTGAAATAGATTATGTCCAGGATGTGATGACTTTGTAGATATTTATTAGATATGGTGTTAGAGAGGAACATGGGTTGAAATCAAAAGAATGAGTTGTGGATCCAAGGCAGTGGTGAAATTCAATTTTTTTTACTACTGGTTCTGTGGGCATGGCTTGGTGGGTGTTGTGTGGCTTGGTGGGCATGGCAGGGGAAGGATACTGCACAATCACCATTCCCATCCCACTCCAGGGGAAGGATACTGCAAAATCCCTATTCCCTCCCCACTCCTGGGGGAAGGATCAGGGGAGAAATGCTTTCGGTTCGGACCAGAATGCCCGATCTGGTAGCGATGGCGGCGGGTGGTTTGGAGAACTGGTAGCAAAAATCCCTGCCCCCCCCCATGCCCAGCTGAGCCGCACGATCATCAGAGGGTTTTTTTTTTTTTTTAAAAAGCATTTTTTCTACAACCTCTTCGGCCGAAGAGGTTGTTTAAAAAATGCTTTTAAAGGCTCTGACAATCAGGCAACTCAGCTGGGATCGTCAGAGCCTTTTAGAAGCATTTTTTAAACAACCTCTTAGGCAGAGGTTTTAAAAGGTAAAAAAAAAGCCTCTGACGATCATAGCTGAGCAGCAAAAAAAAAGATTGCGCGCCACAGCTGATCACCCCCCTCGCACGGTTCTACTTACCGCATGCCTCCTTTTGGGCGTGCATTGCGCATGCGCACCTCGCATTTGGTGCATGGTGTGCACTACATATGCGCAGCCAGCGAACTGGTAGTAAACCGGTTCAGATTTCACCACTAGGAAGGATATTGCAAAATCACCATTCCCACCCCACTCTGGGGCCAGCCAGAGGTGGCATTTGCGGGTTCTCCGAACTACTCAAAATTTCCACTACCGGTTCTCCAGAACCTGTCAGAACCTGCTGGATTTCACCCCTGGTCCAAGGACCCACAACTTCCCTCCTCCCCCCTTTATCATTTTTAGGCCTTTCTTGTCCCACCATCCAGTCAGAGCTGAATAAGCTTCTTGGATGAGAGGCGAAACATCTTCAAAGAAAAAACCAGAAAGTCCAGTTGCCTCATGAAAAAGCATCTTTGGGACAACCGTGACCTGGATGACTGAGAATCTCCATAGACATTTGTCAAGCTATACCTTTCTTAGGAACCACATTGCAAGTGGTACCCTTTATGGCAGCCGTACTTAAAAATACCAATGATAATTTTTAGAGTAGCATGTATACTTTCCTTTTCTTAAGCTCTCAGACCAGAAAGATGTACAGATGTAACACTACATCAAACCATAACAGTATGTAAATAGCATCATCAGTGTACCAGGTTTTATACAATTTATATTGCCTCACCCTCTTCTTGGTGGGAAAATTTATCCAATTATATCCTGAGGGATGTTTTTACTCCTATTGATCACCAAGAAGCAAACACCGCCCCCCCCCCCACACCTTTTAATGGAGAATACATCTATTGTATTAGGTACTGTATTATAGAGGAGAATAAATGTATGATCTGGTTGGAACTAGGTGCAGATGAATTGGATGGATAGATAGGATTAGAATACATAGGATCAGGTCAAAAGCTTCCCTATAAAACCTGGGGGTGGATGGGGTGAGGAATAGAAATATCTAAAGCACTTGTCTTATCTAATATGGGAGTAATACCAGGCCAAATTAAAATAATCTTCAGTTACATCAGTCAGATTACTTTGTCTCCCATTTGCCATAAGCAAAATACTGGGTTATGTTTTAAAGATGACTTTGGAACATAATTTCAGCATAATATTGTGCTGATCTTTTCCTGACTTTAGGGAAATACTATGATAAGAAGAAAATAATGAACAGGATACAATGGTATTTTATTCCTCTCCTTCTCCCACAGAAAAATAAAAAAGACTAAAAATCTCTTTTCCCCTTCCTACTGAACGCAGTATTTCTCTCCTGCTGTCTCTTCGGAGGGGTGTGTGTGTGTGTGTGTGTACTTCAATGGCACTATACTCTTAGCTTGTGTTAACTTGAGATCTCCATGCCATGAAAAAAGCATTTGTTACTTTATACATGTTTTCTACCCAGCAATCCAATCCTTTGGGGCAAAATTCAAGTCATACGCATAATAAATAATAAAACAGAAAAAGCCACAGCTTGCAGTCATTGGAGGTTGCTACTACAAAAGCCAATCGTACACCAGACATTGATGTTGCACGCAGTGCAGTGCAGTGCACTGCAATGAACGCATTGAAACACGCACATACAGGTAGTCCTCAACTTACAACAGTTCATTTAGTGACTGTTGAAAGTTATAATGGCACTGAAAAGTGACTTATGACCATTTTTCACACTTATGATCGTTACAGCATCCCTACGGTCACGTGATTTACATTCGGATGCTTGGCAACTGACTCACATTTACGACGGTTGCAGCATCCCAGTCACGCGATTCCCCCCTTTGGCGTCCTTCTGACAAGTGAAGAAACCAGTTTCACTTAACAACCGCCCGACCAATTTAAGAAACAGCAGCGATTCACTTTAACCAATGTGGCAAGAATCATTGTAAAACAGAGCAAACTCACTTAACAAATTTCTGATCAATATACATTTCTGATCAATATAAATGTTGGGCTCAATTGTGGTTCTTAAATTGAGGACTACTACCTGGTTACAGCAGGTTGACTGTATTTGAGAGGCAAAGAGGCACAGCCCCTGGCTGCATTAAAGGGTTACGCAACCCCCGCCCCCAGAGGTCGCCCACATTTTTGTAACCGAGATCCGAAGTCTCCCCCTAAGACAGGGGTCTCCAACCTTGCCCACTTTAAGCCTGGCGGACTTCAACTCCCAGAATCCCTCAGCCAGCTTTCATGTAGCTTTGCTGGCTGGGGAATTCTGGGAGTTGAAGTCCGGCAGGCTTAAAGTGGGCAAGGTTGGAGACCCCTGCCCTAAGAGACCAAGGCAGAAGCCAAGCTCCACCCTAGACCGACGCCGACAGAGGGGAAGTTCCGTTCCCGGAACGCGCGCTCTACCTACCCTATCTAGGCCTGCCAAGCCTGTCATTGGTTGAATAGCAGCTGCCCCCCTTCTCTTCTCCCCACTCCCGCCCACTTCGTGGATCCTTCCCACAGGAGGCAGCGGCTCCGAACCACGTCCAGACTCGACGGCTCCTCTCCTTTCCCAGACCGGCTCTCCCCTTTGCTTTCGCTTCCCCGCCGCCCGCGTTTCCGGCTCGCGAGCGCATGCGCGTAGACGGGAAAAAAAAAACACAAAGAAGCATGGCCACTGGGGCAAAACGCAGGAAGGCGGAGGGCCCTTCAAAGTCTCGGCTGGTGGAGGAGGAGGAGGAGGAGGAGGAGGAGGAAGGCAGCGACGGCCAGGACTCCGATTCGGAGCTGGAGAGTGATAGCGAGGAGGACGAAGAAGAAATTAACGAGGTGAGTTGAGTCTTCCCACCACCAACCCAGCCCAGCCCGGCGGCTTCTCTTCCAACCTCTGCCTGCAAGCAGACGAGACTTTCCCGGCTTCTCCATTAGAGTTGTCGGCAGCTTCGAGTCCGGAGGCGGAGATGGGTGGGGTGGGGGTCTCCAAGGACGCCGCTTGATAGCTGGCCTTGGCTTCATTCCCCCTGAGAAGACCCCGCCGTTTCCCCAGTGTAGTCCTGCCTGGAAATCCCTTTCATTTCCAACTTGCTTCCCATTCACTCCGAATTACAGAGAGTCCTCGCTTTACGGCCGCAATCGACCCCATGTTGCTCAGTGGAAAATTGGTTATGTGAGTTTTGCCCCGTTTTCTGACGTTTCCTGCCACGTTTGTTAAGTGAATCATGGCAGTTGTTAAATTAGTAACACGGTTGTTACGTGAATCTGGTTTCCCCCATTGACTTTGCTTGTCAGAAGGTGATCACATCACACACACACACACACACACACACACACACACACCCATCTGGTTCAGTTCCAAGCTGGGACAAAGACACTGGAAATATGGAGGCTGACTGGAAAGAAAGTTTAAGGATGAAGCAGACCACATGGATGGTTCTGGACAGCTGACCACATGGAGTTGAGAGTGGGGCGTAATTATACCTTCTCTTGGGCTTTGCCCTTGAGCTTCCTGTGCAAGAACATGTATTCTATTGGCTGTTGCCAGATTCCTAGGGTGTCATGTAGGGGTTATATAGGGGTCATAGCTGGCTCTATAGGCAAAAGAGGAAATGAAATGCAAATTCTAGGAACGTGGTGGCAAACCTATGGCATGCGTGCCAGAGGTGGCACGCAGCGCCCTCTCTGGGCACGCGAGCCGTTGCATCAGCTTAGCTCCACCGCGCATGCACGTGCGCCTCCTTCCGGCCAGCTGGTCTTCGGGTCTCTGCTGCGCATGCATGGGGGTGGGGTACACATGGGGGGCCACTCATGCATGTGGGGGTGGAGAGCATGTGGGTGGCCCATGTGTGCAAGCATGGCGGGACGCATGCTTGGGGGGCGGGGTGCATGTGGGGGGCTGCGCACGGGGAGCAGGATGCATGCGCAGGGGCCATGCACGCATTGCATTTTGGGGGTTCGGGTGTGTGTGCACTTTGGGCACTCAGTCTGGAAAAGGTTAGCCATCACTGTCCTAGGTGGTTGAGCTAATTTGGTTTACTTTATTTATTGTTTATCTGAGCTCCCAGGTGAAATTTGGACTGCTCTGGAGGGGTCATGCAATGTCCAAAATGCCCTTAGGAGATTGTGCAATGTAGTGAGCTCTGTGTCTTCTGCTAAATGGTAGTGGGTCAATCCTATTATGTCCTGAAGGATCATGTCCTGTTCTTAATCCCATCAACCTGAAGCTGAAGGTCTTTTGTTTTGTAGAAAGGCTGGTCAATCTTTCTTAATGGGCACAAAATATTGGCTGGTGGAGGGGGGGTTAGACTGAGTCTGTTTTCTTTCTTCAAAAAAAAATGTTTCTCTGTTTCTCATTTAGGGAAATATAATATCCTGCCTTTTTAATATTCCTCTAAATATTTCATTCTTCTAGGAGGGGGGCTTCCCACAATATACTACAAACTCATAAATGTGAGTCAGTATTCAAGCATCCGAATGTAAATCATGTGACATGGGGATGCTGCAATGGTCATAAGTGTGAAAAATGGTCATAAGTCATTTTTTTCAGTGCAGTTGTCACTAAGTGAACTGTTGTAAATTGAGGACTATTTGTAGTGAATTTGTGAGAACTTCTTGTGGACAATCAGTTAAAATGAGCCAGCAGTGTGTGGCAGCGACCGAAAAAGCTAATACAATCCTGGGTTGTATAAACAGAAGCATAGACTCAAAATCATGTGAAATATTAGTACCCCTTTATAATGCCTTAGTAAGGCCACACCTGGACACTGCATCCAGTGTTGGTCACCATATTATAAAAAAGATGTTGAGACTATGGAAAGTGCAGAGAAGAGCAACTCATTAAAGGACTGGAGACAAAAACATTTGAAGAATGGTTGGAGGATTTGGGTTTGGCTGGTCTAGAAAAAAGAAGTACTAGGGGGTGACATGATACTAGTGTTCCAATATTTGAGGGGCTGCCTCAAAGAAGAGGGCATCAACTTATTTTCCAAAGCACCAGACGGCAAGACAAGAAACTATGGATGTAAACTAATGAAGGAGAGAAGCAACCTGGAATTAAAGTGAAACTTCCTAAAAGTAAGAACAATTAACCAGTGGAACAGCTTGCCTTCAGAAGTTGTGGGTGCTTCATCACTGGAGGTTTTTAAGAAGAGACTGGACAATCACTTGTCTGAAATGGTATAGTGTCTCCTACTTGAGTAGGGGGTGGGACTAGAAGACCTCCAAGGTCCCTTCTAGCTCTATTCTGTTTGATTGACTTCTTGATGCCTGTTTCTACTCTCTGAAGTTTCCTTTTCTTCTGGGTTTCATTCTCCAACCATGTGAATGATAACAACCAAAATGGGAGGCTTGGAAATGTAAACAAAGTGCATTTCCTTCCTATATTTGACACCAAAACCTAGAAGAGCCTTTCTCTATTTTGATTCCTTCTAAAAGCATTGGACTACATCTCCCATCAGCCACTAGGGTAGATTGTCAGAAGTATGGAGCAGCTTGTGTGGGATTGGGCAATGCAGTTTCATTTATGGTGGTTCCATTTAAAGTCAGTCCAAGAGACAAAAGAGATTTAAAGTGATTTTATTTTCAGCTGAGACAAAGAATTTGGGAATTAATATCCTAGGTACAAATTAGCAGATGTGCATGAGGAAGCATATATCTCTCACAAAAGTTTATATGGCTAGATTTTAAAAATGGATAAAGTTAGATGAATACTAATATGTATTATTTCTCTTGGTTCACAGGAAGTAAACATTGAATTTGAAGCACATACAATAACTGATAGTGATAAAAATGGAATTAAAAAGTTGCTACAACAAGTATGTATGTTTTTCTTGTAACCCTGGATTTTAGTTTTTGTGTTTTAAAATAATGATTCTTAACTAAATAATGATTCTTTAACTGTTCTCAAATCATTGTGGACAAATGAGATTTTGTTTGTCACAATCTGAGGACATAGGAGCCGCATTGTAAGCCGCTCTGAGTCTCCGGAGAAGGGCGGCATATAAATCAAATTAAAAAAAAAAAAAGGAGCCCTTGTAGTGCAGTGGTTAGAATGCAGCATTGTAGGCTTACTCTGCCTACAGCCAGGAGTACGACCCTGATAGGGCTTGAGGTTGACTCAGCCTTCCATCCTGTTGAGGTCGGTAAAATGAGGACCCAGATTGTGGGGGCAAAATACCGACACTAAACTGCTCAGAGGGTGGTGTAAAGCACTATGGAGCAGTATATAAGTCTTAAGTGCTGTTGCTATTTTTAACCACAAGGCAATACTATTTTGTTATTTCTGTGGCAACTTATTGGGAGGGAAAGGAATACTAAGCTTACAATTATTAATTCCAATTTGATTTAAAAAGTGCATAGCTGTGGGACACGTTAATTTACCAAGGTGGCTTGGAATATTAAATCTCAATAAAGAAAATGAGTACAGAATGGTTAGATATTATAAAATTAAATCATAAGTACATTATGCAGAAAGTTATACGTTCATTTGAATACTGCCTTAATTCCTAGAAATGAATGCTATAGCTCTACCTGCCCAGTGCTAAAGTGGCTTTATCTGTCAAATCTGATTTCACATATAGATTATATTATATTAACTAAAAATCTCTTTTCTCTCAGCTATTTCTAAAGGCTCCTATTAATACAGGTGATCTGACTGATATATTGATACAACAAAATCACATTGGAAGTATTATCAAGGTATAGTGTTTTCTCATATTTTCTTAATTTACATAATATTTTTGGAGGCTATAATAAGATTTTAGTCTTGCCCTCCCATTGTTGTGGCTCATATATCATGTATTTATCTGTGAGTAATTTTATTCAGACAACCATACATTGCTGAAGGTTCATCTCCACAATGCTCATGTTTCTAGGTCCATTTAACTTCATAACTTCTCTTCTTATATGCTATTTCTACAATATAATCATAATTAACTTGAATTACCCACAGAATTACTGGAATATTAATGGTCAGCAAGATAGTCCCAACAATTTCCTTGTGCTTCTAGACCAGAGGTCTCCAAACTTGCAACTTTAAGACTTGTAGAGACTTCAACTCCCAGAATTCCTTATGGCTGGCTTAGGAATTCTGGGAGTTGAAGTCCACAAGTCTTAAATTTGTCAAATTTGAAGACCACTGTTCTAGAAACATTATAGGCAGAGCAGTATCATTTTGCATAGGGTGCCAGTTATCTGCTAGATAGACTCATAGAGCAAATAGGTTACAATGTTGATGTTGTGTAAATTCACTGTTACTACTGAAAAAGATGAAAGTGCCCATAATTGATAACAGTATTTCAAAGACTGGATAGAATTGTTCAAGTTCACCTTGTACATAATTCATTATGTAATTCAGCAAATTGAGGAAAGTGCCATTTCCTGCAATATTGTAGTTCTAAATATTGATCAGTATATAAGCAAGTAAAAAGTTGCTTGAAAAACCGAGATGGTACAAACATGTTTGTGGGATTTGAGCTGATAATGATTGCTTAGAAAGCATATATTTGGGTTCTGTCAACTGTCATTACAATTGCAGGTAGTTATTGTTAAAGAAAAAAAGTTT